AGGAAGGCTGACGTTTCAGGCCTAGACCCTTCTTCAGAAATGGGTTTCCATTTCTGAAGAAGAGTTTAGGTCCGAAACGTCAGCCTTCCTGCTCCTCTGATGCTGCTTGGCCTGCTGTGTTCATCCAGCTCTACACCTTGTTATCTCAGATTCTCCAGCATCTGCAGTTCCTACCATCTCTCCACAACACTTTAGTGTTCTGTACAATTGTTATGCTACAATCTGATCTGAGCTTCTGTTCAAAGTTATATAGGTTTAACATAAATTCATCAGAAAGCTGTGCTTAGAAGGAATGTGATTTGCAGAATGCAGAGTCTATGTCCAATCACCTTGCAGCACATTTTTTATGTATTTGAATCACTCAGTTTTTGAAAGATAACTAAAAATGCATGGCAATAGTTCAGAAAATTTGCAATTGACAAACAGGTCACTTTTCCCCATCCCTTTTTGACTTTGAGAAAATGCTAGTGAGTAACACTCATGAACCTTTTAAGTCCATTTGGTGTAACATTGCAGTTAGGAAAGAAGTTCCAGTATTTTGACATGAAGAATTGAAGGCAACTGCAAGCAGTTAAGCTTCCATGCATCTGCTGCTTTTGTCTTTCTAGATGGTAGAGGTTATGTGTTTAGAAGGCTAGTTGCTGCAATTCATCTGAGAGTTGGAACTCATTGCTACCATTTGTGTCCATAGTAGAGGAACTGAATGTTTAAGGTGATGGATAGGCTGCCACTTCAGCGCTCTGCTTTGTCTTAAATAAATGCCAAGCTTGAGTTTTTTTGGAGCTGCACTTGTTCAATCAAGTGAAAGATACTCCTTCACATTTCTAACATATGCCTTTTTCATGGTGAACAGGCTTTGAGGAGTTAGGAGGTGAGTTAGTCTCCTCAAAATTCCCAGCCTCTGACCTCATTCTGTGACCATAGCTTGTCCAGTTCAATTTCTGTTTAATGCAAATCCCAGGATGTTGATAGAGGCAAGATTATTCAGTGATGGTAATTCCACTGAAAATCAAGGCAAATGGTTCACTTCTTTCTTGTTGGGTAATGCCGTTGTCAGTCACTAATATAAGTGAAAAATGTCATGACCATTGATTAAAACTCCAAAGTATGATGCATATTTTTAACCTGCACTTGAAAAAATATGTTTTTAAAAGAGGGCCGATACAGCCAAAAATGGCCGTAGATTTAAACTAAGTGGCTATCTGGAAAGACAGAGAGACCCACAAAATCATGCATTTAAAGTGAACTTCAAACAGGAGCAAGTAAAAACAGACCATGATTGCTTATGACTACAAAGATAACAAAGAGCTGATGATCTGCTCAATAGCAGCCCCACAGATTATATCAGAAATTGCAGACACATTGTGTTTTTTCCTTTGAAGAGTACACAAGGGCAAGAATTAAAAAACAAGTTTCAACTCTACTGAAGTGTACTCGTAGGACTGAATGCATGCATGTGAACCAGCCTGGGCTTCAGCATAAGCATGTTGTGATGGTCAAAATTGAACAACTATCTCCTAGTTACAAGGTGTGGAGCTGGAGGAACTTTTCTCCATTTTCTGAAGAAGGGTCCCGAACTGAAACGTCAGCTTTCCTGCTCCTCTGATGCTACCTGGCCTGCTGTGTTCCTCCAGCTCCACATCTTGTTATCTCAGACTCCAGCATCGGCAGTTCCTACAATCTCTATCTCCTAGTTACCCCTTGCATTGCAGCTAAATACTCTCTCTCTCTCATTCAGAGTGCTATTAATGAGTTAAAAAGAAATCAAAACTATAGAATCTCATTGAATATGCAAAAATTAAGGATCACAGAACCAACTTTTAAACTCCCAACCTCAATGCTACCAGTAACTTCCATGACAATGGCCGAACATTCAATGTTCAACCAACTGCTCCATGTGAACCATTCAGAAATGGAACCATATATTATTTTTAAAAAAATCTTTTAACCTTTAGGACTGACCTCTAATCTATGTGAATGCCAATTGTGTTTCTAATTCTTCTCGTGTTTAGTCATTAATAAACTTATTCTTTGTTAAATTCAAGAAAGCCTAGTCAAATGGCCTAATAGTATTATCTCTGGACTATTAATGCTGACACCCAGGCAACGTTCTGGGGAAAAATCCAAAATCTTATGTCAATTAATTGCCAGTAATCAGACTATAAATTGTAGTGATTGTAATAAGGTCAGTCAGGTGGACCTCACTGAATATGAGTTCCTTGTTTGGGGTTGTTAATCTTGTCCAACTGGGGACCCCTGGCTAACAGATAAGAACAGGACTGTCAGAGATTCTGTTCACGCTGAGAGCCGGCTCTGAGGATGCCGGATCAATGTGAAATACACTGGCCTCTGTGGAGTTACTTCACAAACAATTGAAAATGCGGTTGTTTTGATTCCACTGATTCAGTTTGACTGAAGGAGTAAAGGTGATTGTCTCATTGGATCTTAGGAAACTTAAATCCATTATATTTCAATTTACCCATACAATATTATTAAAACTGTGATGATTCTGATGCCCAGTAAACCTCATACTACTAGTCCTGTCTTCCTTTAGTTTGCTAATGCAAGTGATACAGAATAGGGAACTCCCAGCCATTCAAGATAATATTAGATGTTCTTTTAGCAGATGTGAATACAGATACCTGGAATGATATTTTGCTTTTTGGTATTAATTTCCACTGAGCACTGTGATACCATTATTTACACAGAATTGGAATGAGACAAACTTACAAAAGTACAAAGAGTATAATGGAGAAAAATGTCTTTTAGAAGACTGTAAATTACCCACTCCGATGCCAGGCTGCACACCTACTCCAACGCCAGGCTGCACACCTATGCCAACACCTACATTTTGATAATGAAAATTTCATAATTAGAAAGTTCGAGTTTAGCATTTGTTGCCCACATGTTGTCTTCTTAATTCTACACATTCATTTCAATACACAAATCAAACTGTTATTCTCTTTAACAACTGTAGTTTTAAGATAAATTGAACTGTTTTCCTTTAAACTCCTGACTCCAAAGGAATACAATATTGTGGATTGTGTACACTGTAAATCCACTGAGTGTCCAAAAACAATTCCTTGTCATGTCCACGGTTGTTTCCTTTGAATCTTTCCCATAGATAGCTTAATCAACAATAAGGATGTTTTACTTAGTACCACATTTGTGCTGACAAAATGGCTCATCCCAGCTATTCCTGCCCACCCCTTCATCACTGATTAACCCTTGCTAGTTCTGAGCCCTCATGCAAGTTCCCATCTTCCTGGATGGTACCTCAGATCTTGTACCTCAGATTTCAATAAGGAAAATCTTTGACTTCAGAGTCAAAGGTAAAAAAACTGATTCTTGCACATCATGTTTAAATGAATGTGAACCATGCCACAAGATTCTTCTGCACTGTTAACTTTCTGTTGAAGGCAAGATGCAATTATAACATGTTTTAATATTATCTGTGTGTTTGGCATGCAAATGTATTACATTAGGAAAACATCATGAGATTGCATGATGCCTAACGTACCACAAACACACTATGAGCTAATTTCTAAATTTGAAACTGCTGTCGGGAAAATGGAATTTCAGCTCTGTCTAATTAAGTCTTTCTGTCTTCAATACCTCTGCTCTTGCAAGTCCCACAAAATTCTTCATGTGGTTACTGTCGTAACAGCTTCATAAAAATAATGTAAAGCCTTAGAAAATTTTCTGGTGTTATATCTAAAATATATAATTACTTAACGGAAAAGGTAATTAGTAAAATGTGGCAAAATACAAGTGTGCTACTCATGTTTTTTTTGGGTTGGTATTCGTATCAAAATGAAATAATTTATAAATTGTGCATCACTCAAACCAATTATGGAATGAAGTAAGAAGATATTAGAGAGGTTCAAAATTCATTAATGAATTCTCAAGTATTCCACCTCATGTAGCTTGTTATGCTAGAATCTGGCTGCTGTGATATTTCAAGAACGTAGAAATATCACAAAATGCTTCACAAATGTAATTGTTATATTTAACAGGAAAATACTTTTATGTTCAATATGAAGATGGTCTTATCCTATCCTCAAATATATGATAATATAAATTGATTATTACATAGATTAATGATTGTGTTGCAAGTATGAATATTTACCTCTATACTTAGCAGCTTTAGATGGAGCAGCTCCACCTGCAATAATAAAGAATGGACAGGTAATGATATAGCTGAGACTGAGAATATCCCGGATATAACAAGAAGCATACCAGAGATTAAATATAATACAGCATTCCTGTAATAGATTTTCTGAAGTTTATATCATTAACATAAAGCCAGCTAGTGTTAGCCTTTGGATTCTAGTAGATGAATATCCAGCTACTGTCAATTTGTAATTAAACATTTCTCGAAAGGATCTGACTATTTTGACAAGCTTGTTTAACTTTTACTGAACTAGGTAAATACTTTCAAAAATATTTCAATATGTGGCTTTTTGTTCCTTAGGGAACAATAGATACGTTATCGCTGCTACTGAAGGTAAAAAAAAGGGTCTAGACCTGAAACGTCAGCTTTCCTGCTCCTCTGATGCTGCTTGGCCTGCTGTGTTCATCCAGCTCTACACCTTGTTATCTCATCAAAAGTTTAAGCCTCTTGTGTAACTGCAGTGCGTATATCTGTCAGATCATCTGTAGGACTCCAAAGTGCAACTCTGACATAAATTCAGATTTTGCAGCTCTGGACATCAAAGTATTTAGGCCGCTATCTCAAAAACGATAGATACCAACAAAATTTGGTACATAAGGCATGTTCCAGAGATGAACTTAATAGATTTTGACAAAAATGTGGACCTGGATTCTGAATTATTTCCAGAATCCATTTATACTGGGAGATAGGATAAATTAACTTTTCTTAAAAAGAAAATTATTTGTTTCAGAATATTGTGGATTATTGTGGCTGTGGGCAGAGTTAACAAAATAGGTTGTCTGAATTTTCCTGGGAATGAAGCATACTAATGAAGAAATTTCTTGTTTCAGCTTAATAATTAAAGCACACCAATCAGGTATGGATCAGCCTCAAGGAACAGCAGCATAATTGAAATAATGACTAGTTAGCACAATGTGGTGAGATACATTCTCTGCTGAGTGTACTCCTCTCTTGTTTAAAGAGTTACATTTCCATTGTTGGACTTTCAGGCTTGGCTATTAACAGATATGGGTAAGGTAGGTGAATAGGCAAAGTTTCAAATGAGAAACTGAGGTCTGGGGATATTCCCAGATGCTTCCATATTTTGCAGTTTTTGTGTTTGACTGGTTTGTACCACAATTGATAGAGTTCACATGGTTACCATTGAGCTAGTTATTTTTAATTCCAGGTTTTTAATAAATTCAAATTTAACCATCTGCCATGGTGGGATATACCCAATGAAAACAAAACATCAACCTGGGGTTCTGGACTACTAGTCCAGTGTCATTACCACTACACCACTGCCTCTGCAGGGCTACAGGGAAAAGGTGAAGGTATTAAGTAATATGCTCCTGCAGAGGTCCAACACAGGTACGATGGGCCGAATGACCTTCTTCTGTGCTGTGATCATTCTGTAGTTATTGCGTCTTTCTAAATGGAAAATTATCCTGTTCCTCAGAATGGTTTTCAATAATGTTCCCAATTCTGAGTTTAGGTAGGTTGGTCTGAAATACTTTGTCTATCTCTTTCGCCTTTTTAAACAATAGTACAATATTAGCCTGCCCTCCAGTTCTTTGGTACTACTCTTATGGCCAGAGAAGACTGGAAAATGATGGCAAGAGCATCCTATCTTCTTTCTCCTATTTTCCTTAATAACCTTTGCTACATATTATTTGCACCTGGGAATATATTCGTGTTCAAAGATATCAAACTTCTTAATATTTCCTAACATACTTAAATCTAATATTTCACACTCCATCATCTTGATTTCAATGTTTTGTTCCTTAAAAATCATACTAATATCAGAGAACGTTATCTGATCAATAGATTGCAATCAGCTTCATGAGCGACCTGAGGCAATAGTTCTCAATCATTTTCAGGGGGTGAATTTTCTGCTTATATATTTATTGTGTTGGAGTTACTGCCTCCTGAGCTGGTATCCCAGCATGGGTGGTTGAGGAAAAGGTTACTATTGTTCTTCCTTGTCATGGTTCTGTTGCTTTGCTGCTCCCTTTTCTCCTTATCAGTGGTCCAGGGCAGAGCTAAAGATATGGAAGCCATGCTGCTGGGAAGCCAGGCAACTTGGAAGAGAAGATCAAAAGGAAATTTCAAATTTCAGAAATTACTGTCAAAATCTTGAGAAACCTTGAAAGCAAAGAAAGCATACTCTCAGATCAAGACCTTTGGCAAGAAAGCAATTTTGAGATTTTGGCTTCTCAATTATTCAACCTCATCAGATTCTGTTATCCTTTTTCCTTGTGATATCTGGTGAGTTCCAGGAAGAACATGAACATAGTAAAAAATCAGAATCTTAGTTTTAATATATTTTTAATGGAAGACCCTTGTGTCAAGGAGTTTTCCACTGACTAAAGAATACATACAGCTCAAAAAACCAAAGTCCATTTGGTTTTTGTTGGTTTCACAACATGTTGACAATTAAAGCTTATTTGCTCCATACCTGCACAGAAACACATCAAACTTGATGGGTGAAATCTGGTCTGGGTTGATACTTTCCTTAGGCACTAATTGATCGATAAAACGTTTCTCTTTCTAACTGCTGAAAACCTAAATCAACTGCTTTTAATGCACTCTTACAGTGCTATTTAAACTATGTTAGTTCTCTGATTCCCACTATAACTGAGGTTACTCGCCCCTAATTCCGAAATTTTGTTTGTGCCACCTAAACCTTGTGATTTTCTTCTGATTAATTACAATGGGTAAGAGTATCCCAGGCTGGTGTCACAAAGATGTAAAACTACAGCCATTCAACACATTAAATGATAAAGGTTCATTTACTTATAAACTGAAATTTATTAACCTTCCCTTACAGCATCCTTCACAATGGCAATAATCTACAGTTACAATTTTCCTTCTGCCTTTGGTGTTAATTTGAAAGTGTGCCCAGACAGCATCATTTACACAGAATTATAATAAGATAAATTTTAATATTAATATTGATGAAAATGTTTTTCAGTAAATTACCCACTCCGATGTCAGGCAGAACACCTACTCCTGCTCCAGGCTGGACTCCTACTCCTATGCCAGGTTGCACACCCAATCCCAGGCCTGCAATTGAGATTACAAGAATTTAATAATCAGAAATATTGGACAGTTTTTAAAGATGTGATTCTTGCCCACTGGCTGAAGAGCCAGTGAGAGATCCACATAGCCTTCCATAAAAGAGGCATTCTCATGCACTTAAGCAGACAGTGTCAAGCTTTCCCTGGATTCAAGGATCCTGTGGGCAGAGGTCGCACGCACTAGGTTTCTCCAGTCAATCAGGGAACAGCAGGTTATTTGAAGAGCAGTACCAATGGAGGGGCAGTGATTGTTGCTGATAGGGCACACATCCAAGGCTTGGCTAGATGTCAGGCCGTGGTGAGTGATGGCAAGAAGGGATTGTGGAGTCTAATCATGGACATATGAATACAGCTCAACAGCAAAAGCAGGGAGGTGGCTCTCAGCAACAATCTCCAATCCTAAATGCTGGGTTCCTTGGTCAGGCATTGAGTACCTTTTAGCGATGTCCCCTCTACCCGAAAGCATACAAGCAATCAGATACTCTCCAATCAATCTGCTCAGAGATATTATTCCACACATCTGAAGCAGATGGGAATTGAATTCAGCCCTCCTGGTTCAGAAGTAGGCATACGACCATTGCACCACTACAGTCCTCCCATCAACCATCTATGAGTTTGATTGCTATACTCCCCACATGCTGAGCCCTGTTCATCATTTGGTTAAATTAAGAGGCTGCGTACACCCACAGGTCTTCACACGATGAACTTAATTATGATGGAGATGGGAAGCCAATCACCACTCTCCATTCAGAGTCAAAAGCCTCCCCACCCTCAACTGCCAAACTCCTCAAAGAGAAGGACATTAAATTTCACCCTGTAAATCATTAATTTACAAATATCATTAATCTCTTTAACAGAATAAAACTACATTACACTCTCAAATGTAAAACAATAATTTGATGATTATACAGATTAATGATTATATCAGAAGTAGGAATATTTACCTCTATACTTAGCAGCTTTAGATGCAGCAAGTCCACCTGCAATGATAGAGAATCAACAGACTATCTGTATACAGATATGACAAGAGGCATTCAAAAGATTAACAGCAATTTTTTTCCCTGAAACTTCTATCATTAACATCTATTACATACACGAATAAAGTGAAACTAATGTAATGCAAAATATTTACAAGTAACATTTTGCAGCTTACAAGTTAACTTTGAAAATCATCCCTGCAACCTTTGTCCTATCAAAACTTATGTTAATAGCAGTGAAGTTGGTATAGAAGTTTTGACAGTGATGCAATTTTGCCAGCAGGTTCCTCTTACAGCCCATCTGTAGCTGCAGAATTGTCAACTGACCGTGCATTCAGCCACTCAAAGGCTTCAGCTCTCACATCATTGCAAGTATCTCTTATGCATGTTGCTGGCATTTGAAATTTTAATTGCAACTGTTTGGGAAAAAGGATGAATGCAGAAATGATGCACACACTTCTGGTTACTCCAATCAAAATGACATTATGTTGAAAACAATCCATTGCCCTCTTTCTACAACCCTAACAATTCCTTTCATGATCTTTAAGACCAAAACCAGGTTATCCCTCAACTTTCCTTTCCCTAGAGAGGACAGCCCTAGTTTGTTGAGTCTTACCTGATAAGTTTCTCATTTTATTTCTGGCATCACCCTTTTTAGTTACTATTTGCATCTTCTCCAATGCTTGCATATACTTTATGGAGAGCAGAACCGTGACCATGTGGGCTCAACAAGGTTCAATTGTGTTTAATACAAAGGTCTATTATTCCATCCTCTCCCTATGGAAATGAAACCCAAGGCTATTTTCCCCTTTTGATAATCTGTATCATTATTGTTAGTGATTTGCTCATCTGTACTTTTCGATCCTTCTGCTTTCTAACCCACTTGTATTCTTATTTCCAGAGAGTGACCTCTATTCTTCTGACTGAGTGACCTTCCATTTATCTTAACTGAAATCAATTTCACAATGACATGCCCTTTTTGTAAGTTTATTAACACTGATTTACAATTTGTCACAGTGTTCCTCAATATTAATATAAATCTCTGATTCTGTGATGTCCACTCCTGTTTCCTGACTCCAAATTGTTCATGTAAATCATGAACAACACTGTTCCCAATAATGAGACTTGTGGAATTTCATTTGACACTTTTTTCAGTTTCAGCAACAACATTAACCCCTACATTCTACTTTCAGCTTTGTCTCCAGTATTATCTATTATTTTTCCAATTCTGCGTCATTCAATCTTACTCACGTGTCTACAATGTGTTAGCTTAGCAAAAACCTTGAAAATATACGTACATTATATCTACTGTATTATTCTTGTCTGGTCTTTCTGTTACTTATTCAAATAACCCTCAATGTTGTTCAAACATGATCTACTATTTGAAAGCTGTACTGAACATTCATTATTATCTCTTTCTGTTTCTAAATGTTTTTCTTATTATATCTTTTGAGTAAAGATTTAATTCTGTTTCCTATAATCCATGTTAAATTAAGTTATCTATAGTTCCTGGGTTTGCTCTATCTCCCTTTTAAATTAAAAGAATTCTGCTTTACGGTTGCAGCATGAAGTTCACCCCAATTGGACCTTTTGAAGTTTGAAGCAGAATGGAAGAAATTGATCCATTTATTGTCCCCATAATTTTCAATTTGAGGGCAACAAGCTATCCAGGTTTCTAAGAAAAGCTGGTCAAGCAATAGTTAAACTTCAAGGGCAGTGAGTTTATCTTCATCTTTACGCACAAAATTCTGCAATGTGTGATGCAATAAAGTGAAATTTAATCATCAGTGTGTGATACATTAATATTTTGTAAATACTCCTAAATGTTCAAGAATTCATGTGTGCAAATAGTGTAAGATACTCATCCTTTAACATATTGGCAGATTTCTAGATTTGATCAAGATGGACCTTATTGATTTACTTCCAAATGAACAAAGAAATTATCTCATATTTTCAAATATAAGAACTGGAAGGATCAAGGTATGATATTAGCAATCTAAAACCTCTGAAGTTGCAGGTGCCATATACAAAGCAAACAGTCCTTTATTTTCTCCCCCCCAAGACCAACCTGTTCAGAGATGTAACTAGACACCTCTGGAGAAGGTGGAATTTGAACCTGGGTCTCTTGGACCAGGGGACAGGACACTACCACTGCACCAAAAAAAGGCCCCCAGTAAACACTCCTTATGCTCTTGCTTGTTTGTGTCTTGTTAATCATGTTATTAAGCTTTGTTCATGGCATTGTTAAGGTTAAAAGAAACAGTTGGTTGACATTAATTGTCCTTAAGAACTTAAAATTCGAATCAGTTAAGACAATGGAATGTTGGATGAAAACTGTAGGAATGAATAATCAATTTCCACAAAGAAAAGGTAAGTCTTGTTGCTATTTTACCATCCCAGCTAGGATTCCATTAACTGCAATAACATAGAAAGGTTGCCTGAAGGCAGAGATTGAAAATTAAGATTTCTTTCAGACAGAAAATTTCAATTGGAATTACTTGGCAAGGCATGGAAGGAGAGAGTGAGAATTAAAAACCCTTATAGTTGACAAGTTTTTGTGGCTATTGACAAATTTACAAGACAGGTTGAAACAAAGCAAATCAGAAATGGAATGGGTCAGTCTGCCCTCAGACTAGACCCAATCTCAGTTATAACCTAACAGAGCTGTGCATCATCTTAAAATAGGGTACATTTGAGGATGTTCTGAAAACAAATAAAATATTAAAGAAATTAAATTCAGAGAAACGCATCACATTTCCTATCTTAGGTGATCCACACATGAGAAATTACTTATTTTCAGCAATGTTTAATCTGCCAGTCATCCAGGGAAGCATTTTAGTGCAGCAGAGTTTGTCATATTTTTCACAGGAAAAATAATGCATGTTGTCCTGGGAAACAAATAAAATTTTTTAAAAAGTAGTTAAAGGTACCCTAGATGTTGTAACACTGATATAAATAGAAACAATAAATATGCAGGTGTACATGTCTAATATTCTGAAGGAAATCTGATACAAAAAAATGAGCACATAGAATATTATGTGGTTAACTGTTCTCTGTGGGACAGTTGTTCATTCAATAAATTGTATTGCAGAGAAAAGGTTGACAATTGACCAAACTAGTTGTAGAGTCATAGAAGCATGCAGAATGGAAACAGGCTCTTTGGCCCAAGTTGTCCATGCCGACCAAGTTTCCGAAACTGAACTAGTCCCATATAGAGTCATAGATGCATACAGTATGGAAAGGGAGTGGAGTTCAAAAGTAAATTGAAGTGACTGTAATGAGGTCAGCTAGGTGGACCTCATAGAATATGAGTTCTCTGATTGTTAAGGGCTGTTAATCTGGTCCAGTCTGGGAGCCTTGGCTGACTGATAAGGAGTGTCAGAAGTTCTGTTCATTCTGAGAGCTGGCTCTGAGGAAGCTGGGTCATTGTCAAAGATTCTCCATGTTTAAATAAAGGCTGACTCGGTGATGAAATACTGGCCTCTGTGGAATTATTTCCCAGACAATTTTTAAAAAATAAAATGATTGAATCAAGTCACCAAACGTCAAACAGTGTTACAAAGAGAAATGCCTGCCCAAAAAAATAATTAGGTGTCCTTCAGGAGGGCCATTTGTGTTATGATGAGAACATGAAATTTACGATGACAAAAATTTAGACAACAAGAATTTTCTTTAATTGCTTTTTAATTCATTAGCTTTGTAAGCAGCATTACTCAACAAATCCCTTTTCTTCTGTCTTTAATGGGTGTATTATGTGAATCAACAAAGGTAAAACAGATTTTTTGTTAAAAATTAGTTTGGAAAGTTGAACCAAGTTTGAATTTAAAGAAAATAATCCCTAAATGTCTTTTCATGGTACTTGTTAATGTGATAGTTAGGAGAAAGGTAGTTGATACTAATTGTCTTCGTCAGAAGATCCAGTCATGCTCTACATACTTGATACTGAATGCTACTGAAATTTATTCTGCTCACGTGGCGTAAACATCGCAGGCAAGGCAATCATTTTAAATCCCTAATTGTGCTTGATTAATAATACTGGCTTGTCAGTCTCATCACATTCCAATAGTAAATAAAATAAACAGGTTTTGAAAACAAAAGCTTCAAACTTTATTTGATTAGCAGAATAACCACTGCTGCAAAAATTGCTTGATTGTTGCAGGAATTCTAGAACAGATCAGTCTTACCTGCTATGGTCAGAACTTTTAGATACAATGTTGTCAGATATATCAAACTATGTTATGTGACAATTAAACCTACAGTTCTGGAGAAGTCACATCAGACTTGAAACATTAACTCTATTTTTCTCTACAGATGCCACCAGACCCCCTGCTGAGTTTCTCCAGCACTTTGTTTTTATTTCAGATTTCCAGCATTCGCAGCGTTTTGCTCTTACGTATACATAACTGTTTCCTGATGGTTATAACTATGTCTGACTGGTTAATGTTAATTGTATCCATTGTTCTCATGCAATAACCTATACTTTGTTGGCGAAAATAAACACTTTTATTGGTTAAGGCTCTCTAATGATCTATCACCTATCACAGTTTTGATATACCATAACTACAAGTTCAAGAAGATCTAAAAGACTAAAATCCAAAAAACTAAAGACAAAAGATTAAGATTTATAGTTAACTTAAAACTGGTAATTACAACATTCTGCATTACTCCCCTTTGTCTTGTTGCATTCATCTGTTGGAATTTGATGAGTCCAAAGATATGACAAATGGAACATGTCCATGATTGTCCCTCATTAGATCAAACTCACTTTCAGCTCCACTGACTATGTCCTAGTAAACCTAGAGAGCCTTAACCAATAAAAGTGTTTATTTTGGCTAACAAAGCATAGGTTATTGCATGAGAACAATGGATACAATTAACATTAACCAGTCAGACATAGTTATAACGATCAGGAACCATTTATGTACATGTCATACCGAGTCAGCCTTTAGTTAAACATGGAGAATCTTTGACAATGACCCAGCTTCCTCAGAGCCAGCTCTCAG